CTGGCACCTAAAGCACCGTACACCATAAGCCACTTTCCTTGTCATTGCGGGCCTTCGTACACGAGCCTCGATCGAGTATGAGCCAACCCGCTGCCCAACTGACTTGGCTTCAGGAGACGGTCTCTCAAAACTACCTCTTTCGAACGTGACAGTCTCAAGATTCTTCTCAGCTTTCTTCCTGGGAACGTAGGCGGTTTCCAAAACCAGCGCTACGTTTGGAGAAGGAGGAGGTCTAAAGGCCGCCTTCTCGCGCATATAAGCCTCATAATCTTCGGCCAACTCAACCATCTTGGCCAGGTTCCTGAAGTCACGCCGGCGTACCATGAGTTTGTATTCCGGACGCATGTTGCTGTAGATTAAGTCTAATCTACCATGCTCCGACAACGTACCGCTACGCCTAAGCAAGGTACTTATGGCAACAACATAATCTCGGAAGTGTTCGGTCTCACCCTGCGTCCTTTTCCGGATCTCCTCATCCAAATTCCTCTGATACCCAGGTGGAAGGAACTGGATCTCAAATTGATGCCGGAAAGCTTCAAAAGAATACAGGAGCTCCTTGCAGTTCCTGTACCAAAGAAGTGCTGAACCTTGCAGCAGCTCCGGTAGCGCTCTGAGCAGGTCCTCTGATGATACGGAGTAGGACACCATCAGCTCTTCTAGGCGCTCCAGGAATGACACTGGGTCTCTACGTCCATCAAACTTCAAACCCCACTTTCGGACCATGTCACATATCTTGGAGCAATTCTTCGGCTCCACCCTGCTGGCCTCACTCGAGAGCATACCCGATCCACGTGGCACCTCCACACTAGAAGGACGGACTGGTCTCTCCAAGCTATCATTGGGCCGCTGCCATCCCTCGGGTCTACTAGGTAACCCAAAGATAGGCACGGGAGCAGCCACAACAGGGGACGCAGGGTTGGCGGGTCTTTCGAACCCATAGCCGACCTCATTACTCGGCGAGCCTCTCGCCTGTCGCACCACCGATGCCAGATGTTCTCTAAGAGTCCGGGTATCGGTCTCCGAAGACAACCCAAGGATCTCTTTAATCGCCTCTAACTCCCTGCTAAGTCCCACTATCTCTGCTTGATTCGATTCCGCATTACCCAGTACCTGAGGTACGGTTCTCGGGGGGTCAGGAAGCTCCACAGTTGTAGTAGCCGGCGGTACATATGTCGGTGCAGCAGCCCCAGCCATCGTACACAGCCTATCATCGCTGTACCGGCGGGCATTCCGCTGCTTCCAAAACGACGAGAATCTCTGCCGTAATTCCGCAGAAGTACCAGTGGTCACCAAACCATACTGGTCCATCGTCCTTATGAGCTCCCCTTTCGAGAGGTCATATATCCAACCCACGCGACCGTCCCGGGGCTGCGACCCCAAGGACATAGTCGCTGGCGCGGAATAAGTCAGAGACGTTGTCACCGTCGTACCCACGAAAGATGAAATAGTCGGCCAAACAGGCGAAGACGCAGGCCACAATGACGACGTCGTCATCACCGACAGTTCGGAGCTAACCCCAGAACTAGTTGTAACAATAGCAGACGTAATAGGCGTACCGCCCAGCACAGACGTCGTACTCGTAGTGACAACCATATTTAAAATCCAAATACCACGACTAATCCGCAAAAATAAGAGCGAAACCAATTAAAATATATTTAACACCGTTATAATAAATCAAACCAATTATAGGTGTGAAAGTCAAACCACAAATACACAATAAGGGTTCTCACTCAAATAATATTCAATGATAAAGCTCAATTAATTAGCAAAATTAAAATTACTAACTAATATCTATGTATACAACCACTAAATAAATTAGGGTTCACAACACACCACGCTGTAACAGAAAACAGGTTAGGCCTACCCAACCGACTATAAAATCACAGCAGGTCTGCCTAAAACTCTGCTCAACAGCTCAGGTCCGCAGCCAATCTGCACAAGTCCGCAGCAAATCTGCACAAATAAAATTATTTTGTTCGGGCGCCGTTAATATGTCAGCAACTCAGCACCTCTGCCAACCTCAGTCCCTGTTCGCAGGCGCCATCTTGCGACGAGATTTTCTGCACTGGGAAAAAAAATATTAAAAGTGCAGTCAGTCGCAACCGTTTGCCGGGGATAGCTCAGCCTACGATGGCTGGGTAAAGTTCCAGGGTCTGCGATAAGGTCAGGGAAACCACTAGGCCAAAAGCCGGGTCTAACCGGTATAGGACTGGCTCATACACGGGCACTGTGAACAAGTCAAAAACAAGTCACCAAAACAAACGTGCAATAATCACTACCAGACCTACGCCGATTCTCCACACTCCTAGGGGGTCGTTGCTGACTACGCAACTCGGGCTTCGTCCTAACTATCCAATAGTTAAGCCCAGAGTGCCTAAAGCACGGTGAGTTACACGACGACTTGCCAATAAAAACCACAACGCGCGTTATCACCAGGCGGGGTCTACTAGGCCACTATAATCCAATACACAATTCTATTGCCCAAGCTAACAATCAAACAGTTCACTCAATAATAATACCAGATAACAATACAAGTGCACTATAGGTAGAGTGACTACACCACTAGTAGCTGGTCTCAATAAATACCAAGCCAAACAGGCAAAGCTAAATGGCAATTGCACTACTATTAAATTATTGAGCTACTTAGTAACAGGTAAATAAATATTAAATACGTTCCAAACACTAGATAAATATATTATCTGATAGCCGGTACTCCGCTATCCAAGCTACCAAGATAACGTGTTGGACTACCAACCAAGCTGTTCAGGTTAAATTAAAATAATCAAATGAATAAACAATAACAACCCTACTACTGTTACTGCTACTACCAACTTTATGTTACTTAGCTGGGCTTCTGTTAATAGGCTAATAATATTAGCTACTAGCCTACTGGCCGCGTGCTTCCAACTACGCACGCCAAATCGTGCAGCCTAGGTTTGTCGGGCCTTACAGTTATTAGTAATATAACTAACTCTAGGTACAACGCAAAATAATATCTACTACAGCCAATTAAATATATTATTTGCGCTCTAGCACCTGCCCAGAACCGTCAGGAATATAAATTAATATTATTCCTGACTAATAAATCCTAACTACCGTCAGGCTTTGACCAGCACGGTTACAACTCTAACTCTCGCAATCAAATCAGAGATGAGTGTTTTAGTAACAACTTTCAACTCTTAAACCAAAAAGTAAGGAACGTCGTCCACTCACCGATAGTGGGTCTGTACCCAACTTACACAAACACTCGGCGCGATCACACCACCAACGTTCTCCGACACCACTGTCACGTTCACTCCTCTCTACGTACACCACCGACGTATCAGCCAGACACCAACACTCTTCACTGCACGGGATCCACCGCTCGAATGTCCTGCTCGGCTATCCGGTAGTCCCAGGATACCCAAGCTTATCCGAACTGATAAGCCAGGTCAAAGGGTGCTAGCCAGGTTCGCCGCCGCCGCTTGCTTACCCCAACAATCGGTGCGCGGCCAAATAGCAAATATTTACCCCCCTAGGAAAAAGGCTCGTTACAATCCTTACCTTAGGATTACCACTAAACGTTCATCAGCAAAGATCCTTTGTTTTTGTAGGTTACCACCAGTTTCTTACAGTACTTTGTTCAACTACAGTGAAACCTCTTTAATCCGAACTGATTGGGGCCGGGGGTAGTTCTACTGTATTCCCAAAATGTAGTAATCGGTTTCAGGCTCCATTCAATAATATACAAATAACAATGCTCAATAAATTCTAGCTATGGGAGAAGAGATATATAATCATGAATACCGTTTTCACTGGCGGTGTTCACAACAGTGTTCTGACTGTGTCTCAATATGCGCTGGGCCTTAATACGACTCATTTACCTATTGCTAACCAGCCTTAATTTACGCGGCTGATACCGGCGGCGTATTTCTTGCCTGCACTGTGGCCACCAACAACATATCTGACACAGGTTAAACTCACGCCGAAAATCTGTATCTGAATCGGCGTGCACTCTTGACGTACCGTTAGCCTAAACCTTTTTCTAAGTCCATTGATTGCTTACATTTCACCAATTAAAAAAGGCTTCCGATTTCCAAACTTTCTTGTTGTGACTTGAACACTTTAACCATTCTTCTCCCATATTTTCTCATTATGACAATATTTATTTTTAATTTTTATGGTATAAACGTCTGGATCACTGTTTTTTACAATAAAAGGTTTAAATTACCTGTATCCGTCAAGTGATCCTAGATTGTAGTTAGTTAACTACAGCTGTTTTGTGTTAATAAACATATTTTCAGGTCAAATGTTACATTGATTTATTCCATGGAATGGTCATCATGAGGTTGAAACTGAAAGTTCACAAATAACACTTAAACGTACTCAAAATATAAAACATTAATTGGCCAAAACACAAATACAAAAAACGTGTTGTTTAATAAATGACCTACCTTCCACCAGCGCTGCACGTGTCCGACGTCTTTTGTAAGCTACGCGTTTTTCGTATTTTTGTTTTGGACAATTATTGTTTAATGTTTCGTGTTCGTGTAAGTGTTATTTGTGAACTTTCAACCTTATGACGACCATTCCATGAAATAAATCAATGTAACATTTGACCTGAAGATGTGTTTATGAACACGAAACAGCTGTTGTCAACTAACTACAATCTAGGATCACTTGACGGATACAGGTAATTTAAACCTTTTATTGCAAATTTATTTACCGATTGCAAAATTAGATTAAGTTGAGTTGTCACAAATCTGATATATTTTTTAAATGTGATAATTTTTAGTTAATTAGGCTATATAGTATCATAAAATTGCATGTACAATTGTTCTTGAAACTTATCTGCTCTTATATTACAAACCTTCTAGTAATTTTATTTCACATGGTTTCTCATGGCCTCCCTTTCCTCTCACCATAAACCTAATTTTCTCTTCTCGTATTCTTCTCATAGGCTATATCAAAAAAATGTAATAAACCCTCAGAAATGCAGAGTTAACCCATTCATTTTATAGGTACCCAGTAAGAGTTGTGGAAATAGACAACGAGGAAGGAGAAATTCTTGTACACTTTGAGAAGTGGTCTAACCGATACGACGAGTGGGTTCGAATGGACAGCAATAGAATACGGCGTCCTCAAATACCCTCTGGGTACGTATGATTATTGACTAAACATTCTCTCTTCTAAGGTAATCAATACCTTAGATCAGCTGATGACAATTGGAAAGTATAAGTGCGATAGAAGTCTGGTGCACAATGTGCTTATGTTAACTTTAGTTCTTGTTACTTCACCAACTTAAAATCTATACAGGGTGTTTGTGAACTCTCTCGAAAAAATTCACAGGATTATTCCTTGGGTTAATACATGAATATTTTACATTACAAACATGGGTCGCCGGAGCCTCGTTTTCCGTCTGTCTCTCTGTATGTGTTTTTTATAAATAACCTTATAATTCGAGTTTGAATCAAGGTACAAACTTTAAATTTTACACACTTGTGTATTTTAACGTGGTACACAAACATGGAAAATTTCATTTTGTTGACTATAGCCGTTTCAAAATGGCGGCCATCTAAAATCTTTGACCTCAAATTACATAAAAACCACTAGAGCTACAAAAAAAAAAAAAAAAAAAAAAAAAAAAAACACAGGAATAACAAAATGTGGGAAATTTTATGCCAAATCAAATGACACATAGATCTTAAAGATCGGACGACAAACAGCTGAGTTATTAATTTTTTTAAATAATTAATAATTTCTTTACTGGCTTTTAATTGTTGTTTATTCTTTAAAACCATCTGATCCTTTCTAAATTGTTACAACAATATAAGACAGCTGGTTAGACAGATGATTTTGAGATGATGATCAGATGAATTTTTGGAGTTATTAGTTTTTTAAATAATAAATAATTTCTTTCCTGGCTTTTAATTGTTATTGTTTATTCTTTAAATCATCTGATCCTTTCTAAATTGTTACAGCAATGTAAGACAGCTGGTTTGCCCTAACAACAACATTTAGTTTTTTTACTAGATGGTAAATGTATTAAGTGTCCTATTTTTTCCTTAACTATTGAGATCTGTTTAAGGTTACGTAATGTACTCTGTATCAGATGATTTTGATGAATAAACAATAACACTTAGAAGCCAGTAAAGAAATTATTAATTATTTAAAAAACAAATAACTCAGCTGTTTGTTGTCCGATCTTTAAGATCTTGTCATTTGATTTGGCATAACATTTTCTACATTTTGTTATTCTTGAGTTTTTTTTGTAGCTCTAGTGGTTTTCATGTAATTTGAGATCAAAGATTTTAGATGGCCGCCATTTTGAAACGGTTATAGTCAACGAAATGAAATTTTGCATGTTTGCGTACCACGTTAAACTACACAAGTGTGTCAAATTTAAAGTTTGTACCTTTGATTCAAACTCGAGTTATAAGGTTATTTATAAAAAACACATACAGACAGACAGACGGAAAACGAGGCTCCGGCGACCCATGTTTATAATGTAAAATATTCATGTATTAACCCAAGGAATAATCCTGTGAATTTTTTCGAGAGAGTTCACAAACACCCTGTATAATCCAAAATTAACCATCTAGCCTAGGCCCGCCCCTACCAGATAAGATTAAATCTATCTAGCCTATTTTTGAACCATTGCTTTCTACTATACCACAGAGTAGAGCATTAGTTGTAAAATTTACCCTTAACTAACACGTTTGCTGCTGTTGCGTAATGGCCGAACGCATCTGGGAGCGGAAAAACTCGGGCTGTGTGGATGAGTGTCAGAAAATTTGTAAATTCAGTATCATCTTACAGAAGAGCCATGGCATAATAAACTGAATAATCGTGCATCATTTAACAGAGACTAAACTAGATGTGATGGTTTTTGGTGGACCTTTTTTGGTTCACATTTTCACATCAATCTTTTAAGACAAGTCCATGAATTTGGTTATGAATTACCTACAGCAGTCATCACTGGCTTACCTGTGTTACTTAGATAGTAACAATACTTCCACTGTCTTTGGATCCCCTTACAGATTAGAACCTATGTTTATGATAATAGTTAGTTAGGTATTTTTTTAAAGTCGAACTTAAGGAAAGTGGATTTTACATTGTTGAAATTTTGTCACTATAAAATGTTAACTAAAACCAATTGTAAGCATAAATTTTGGGTTTCAAGCTCAACTAAGTAAATATTTTTGAGACAAGGAAATGTAAATTGCCAAATACTGTGACTCACCCAAATACCGTAATTCCCCACTTTAAACGTTTAACATAAGCAGACGACTAAAGACACGACACATAGAGAAAAATAGTATGTTCTGTGTGTCTTTAAGTTTGTTACTCTATGGTTCGGTCGGCGCCAAGCAGTCTGTGACAGTTACGTCTGTGATCGTTACTAGTTTGAATGTTGCCATTTGTTTACGTCTGTTGAGCTTCAAGAAAGTGATTCAGGTAAGCAAAATAGGATTTTATTTATTACATATGAAAGCTGTATGAATAATTTTGGTGTATTTTCGTTGAGTTATGTTCGTATTTATTCTTATGCATTTATTTAGTTTGTTTTTCAATTTTGTAAAGGGAAAATTAGGATCACGGTATTTAGCAAAAATATACTGCATCAATCCAAACTCCGTGAATTCTTCACGTTTAGCTTTTAACACAAAAGTTTCAATAGAGTTAAAAGTAGTTAAATTTACAAAAACAGTGTTGGAATGAAATCTAAAGTTATTAATCATCTTGATGTGTTGGCTAAAGTCCGTACGTATGTTTTCTATAACAATTTTGGTATAAAAATGTCCAAGATAATAAGGCTACCGAACTACATGTTGAAGACTGCTTACTAATATAATGTTTTAATCACAGCCCTATATTTTATTTCAGGTACTTTCCCGCTTTGTACGTGTTATGAATTTAAGATAAATGGACATTAATAGTTTGTGTATATAAATTAACGTTAGGCCCCATTTTAAGGGAATGTTGCTGGAAGTCAAATATTTGCAGCAGTATTTGCAATGTTTGCGCTACAATATTTGTAGTGTCTGTAAGTCAAAATCCCATTGAGTCAAATAATACAGTCAGTGCTGAAAACAGCCAATCACTTTAACAGAGACTAAGCTGTTAAAGCGATTGACACATTGGAATTTTGACCATATGCAACAGCAGTTTTAATATGACAAAATACGATAAAATACAAGTTAAATTTCTTTGAGTCAACAGTGCCAGAAGGTCAAAAGTAACGTCGATTCAGTGCAAAGTAGACCTCCTGCAACGCTCGCTACCAACAAAACTTGCTTGCTTCTAATTACTTTGTGTTTTGTCATAATTAGAATAGAGCTAAAATTATCATATTTGGTACATAGCTTATCTATTAATGCTTCTTGCCAACTGTTTGGTTAAAACTGCAAATATGTAGCTAGTTTTTTTTTCGAATATAAGGTAATTTATTTTGTTAAAAAGCCTTTTGTGAAAATTTGTGACATGAAATAGTTAGTAAGTGTGGAATTTGTTTACATATTGGTCAGAGATGTTTTGTCAGTGACAAACTTGTTGCTAATAAGTATATGCTTAACATACGGTTTTTGGAAAATTGTTGGAACATTGGTTGGAGAGATATTTCACGCTAAAGGTGAGTTAATGCTCACCTTGACGCTTCGGTCAGGATGAGCATCTCAATTTTCCTGTGATAATTAGATACGTGTGTAAAAAAGCAGTCCATTTGATTTTAGAACTATATCATGAGTTATAACGTACACATATATTCATATATTCATATATTCATATTCTTTATTCATATTATTTGTACAAAGGTGGTACAATCAATCAATCAATCAATCAATCAATAAATAAATCTTTATTCAATAAATACAAAACAAGTGTACATGAATGTGTCATCAACCTAAAACTACTTCACATGATTTAACCTACTTCCCTACTTGCTTAGTCATACAGTTTTTTTTTGTTACAGTGTTCAAAATTTTCTAAACTATAAAATTCACTATCAATTAAAACCCCTTAAGTTTATTTTTGAATTTATTTACGCTACTTTTGTTTCTAATACTGCTGAGGAGGGAATGCATGAATTTAATTCCAATATAATTAGGACTTTCCTTAAATCTTTCTTTTTTATGTTTTTTAGTTATGAAGTTTAGTTTGTTTCTAGTGTTATAATTATGTACGTCTTTCAATCTTTGAAGTTCTGATTCATGGTTTTTAACATACATTATCGTCTTATAAATATAGAGACTGTAAACGGTAAAGAACTCTAATTCTTTAAAACGATTTTTACAGGATTCATTTATATCCAGATTAAGGATAGGTACACCTAGTGGCTTCTTTTTGTAAATGTATGTTTGTAGTGGTAGGTAATTTTTAAAACACTCTGAACCCAAGTATCCCCACCGACCATTATTCTTTGCCGCATCCAGACGAGATTATTGCAAAAATTCATGGTGCAAGATTTTTACTAAAATTGATCTTGCCTCCGGCCTATAAGCAAATGTGAGTTAGTGAGGCCTCTCAAAAACTATTGACCATAAATACTCATCTATATAATTAATACGCTACATGAAACTTTGTCGGTTGAACTCCTCCGCCATTTCTTAACCGATTTTATCCGTTGATGTCTCATTGGAAAGAGCGTGTCGCGTAGATTTGCAAACTGGCCTTACTTTTTGAAAAAGTCCCTTGGGCTTTGCCCCAGTGGCTGTTAAAGTTCCCATGTTATCCTTATGAAGAACATAATTGTTTTCATTTTGATCAGCTGTATAATTTAATTGCTGTTATTTATTTTTCAATCCTATGAAACGCATTGAGTACATTTATTTACTATTTGAGTTTGTGTAAACATAACCCCCAAGACGGATCGTGTTAGTATGGTTGTATCTTAAATTTGTGTATTTATCGTTGTTTGTGTCGCTATGACGGATCGTGTTAGCATGATTGTTACTTAAATTTGTGCATTTATTGTTTGTGTAGCTATAATTTGTTTATTTGCTGTTGTTTTCCTTTTAAATGCCTCCGACGCGACGACAACGAAACATAGACAGGAGGCGCAATCGTGATAACGACCGCAGCTACAGAACGGTGACGCGTAATAGGCTTAAAGTCAGCACCTGACCCTGGACAATCTCAACTATTTGGTTAAAAATGC